CCTCAGGCTTGTGTTGCTGCACCTGGTGTGTTCTGTTTAATAAATGTTTGTTAGCTGGACATGGTGGCTCACACTTGTAATCCCAGCACTTTGGGAGGCTGAGAGGGGTGGATCACCTGAGGCCGAGAGTTCGAGACCAGCCTGACCAACATGGAGAAACCCTGTATCTACTAAAAATACAAAAAAAAATTGGCCAGGTGTAATCCCAGCACTTTGGGAGGCCAAGGTGGGTGGATCACAAGTCAGGATATTAAGACCATCCTGGCCACCATGGTGAAACCCCATCTCTACAAAAAATAAAAATACAAAATACAAAAAATTAGCCGGGTGTGGTGGCACATGTCTGTAATCCCAGCTACTTGGGAGGCTGAGGCAGAAGAATCATTTGAACATGGGAGGCGGAGGTTGTGGTGAGCTGAGATCATGCCATTGCACTCCAGCCTCGGCAACAAGAGCTAAACTCCATCTCAAAAAAACCCAAAAACATATAAAACATGAATGTTTTTAGTCCTTTTAGCCTGCTATACCAAAATACCATAAACTGAGTAATTTATAAACAACAGAGAATTCTCACAATTCTGGTAGTTCATAAATCCAAGATCATGGCGCCTGCAAATTCAGGGTGAGGGCCTGCTGCCTGTTCATAGATGGTACCTGCTCTCTGCGTCCTGATGTGATAGAAGGGGTCTCTCTTACAGGGCCAATAATCCCATTCATGAAGGCTCTGCCCATGACCTAATCACTTTGCAAAGGCCCTACATCCTAATGCCACCTAATCACATGGTGATTAGGTTTCAACATGTGAATTTTGGAGGAGAAACATTTGGATCAACACAGATGTCATGAAGCATAATAATAAGTGAATACTTATGAAATCATCATCCAATTTAAGACCTTAAATATCACCATACAGTTGCATTTATCTGTATACCCTTTCCCTTATTATTCCTTGCCTTTACCTTTGAGGTTACTCTATCCTGAATTTAATGCTTAGCTTTCCCTTATGTGTTTAATGTCATTTTATTATATATCTCTCTAAACAACGTAGTTTAGTTTCTTTTAAAACTTTATTAAAATGTATTACATTTAGACTTTTGAAAGTTACTTTTTCATTAAATATTTTATTTTTACTTATTTTTTGAGACAGTGACTCACTCTGTCACCCAGGCCAGGCTGGAGGGCAGCGGTGCAATCTCTTACTGCAGCCTCTCCTCCTCAGTTCAAATGATTCTTGTGCCTCTGCCTCCCAAGTAGTTGTAGTTGGGACTACAAGTGCCTGCCACCATGCCTGGCTAATTTTTTTGTATTTTTAGTAGAGAGAGGGTTTCATTTCACCGTGTTGGCCAGGCTGGTCTCAAACTCCTTACCTTAAGTGATTCACCTACCTGCCTCAGCCTTCTAAAGTGCTGGGATTACAGGTGTGAGGTACCACACCTGGCCTACTTTTTCTTATTCTTTTTTCTTTCTTTCTTTTTTTTTTTTTTTTTTTGAGATGAAGTCTCACTCTATCGCCCAGGCTGGAGTGCAGTGGCGTGATCTTGGCTCACTGCAACCTCCACCTCCCACGTTCAGGCAATTCTCCTGCCTCAGCCTTTTTTTTTTTTTTTTTTTTTTTTTTCCTGAGACAGAGTCTCCCTCTGTGGCCAGGCTAGAGTGCAGTGGCACGATCTCAGCTCCCTGCAAACTCTGACTCCCTGGTTCAAGCAATCTTCTGCCTCAGCTTCCCAAGTAGCTGGGATTACAGGCACGTGCCACCAGGCCCAGCTAATTTTTGTTATTTTTTTTTTTTAGTAGAGATGAGGTTTCACCATGTTGGCCAGGATGGTGTTGATCTCCTAACCTCACAATGCACCCGCCTCAGCCTCCCAAAGTGCTGGGATTACAGGCGTGAGCCACCACGCCCAGCCACGGGGTTATTTCTGAGGCCTCTGTTCTGTTCCATTGGTCTTTATCTGTTTTGGCCATGCTGTTCTGATTACTGTAGCCTTGTAATATAGGTTGAAGTCAGGCAGTGTGGTGCCTGCAACATTTTATTTTTTTCTTTTTTGCTTAGGATTGTCTTGGCTATGCAGGATGTTTTTTGGTTCCATAGGCAGTTTAAGGTGGTTTTTTCCAATTCTGTGAAGAAAGTCAATGGTAGCTTGATGGGGATAGTATTTAATCTATAAATTACTTTGGGCAGTATGGCCATTTTCATGATACTGATTATCCCTAACAATGAGCATGGAATGTTTTTCCATCTGTTTGTGTCCTCTGTTACTTCCTTGAGCAGTGGTTTGTAGTTCTCCTTGAAGAAGTCCTCCACATCCCGTTAGTTGTGTTCCTAGGTATTTTATTCTTTGTAGGAATTGCGAATGGGAGTTCACTCATGATTTGGCTGTTTGTCTGTTATTGGTGTATAGGAATGCAGCTGTGAATTCAGCTGTAAACCCATCTGGTCTTGGACTGTTTTTGGTTGGTAGGCTATTAATTGCTGTCTCAACTTCAGACCTTGTTATCGGTCTATTCAGGGAATTTGGCTTCTTCTTGGTTTAGTCTTGGGAGGGTGTAAGTGTCCTGGATTCCTTTTTTGGAAGGATTTTCATATCTCTATCCCCTTCACGTCTGCTCTTAGTTATTTCTTCTGCTAGCTTTCGAATTTTTTCTTACTCCTCTAGTATTTTGCTTTTCTTAATTGAATTATATCACACTATTTTGGGCATTGTATTTTTAATGTAAGGAAGCATGTCAGCTTAAAGTCACATGGCAAGGATCAGGACCAGAATCTTACCTTGCTATATGTATGTTGCTTGATACAGAGTTTTGCTCTTGTCCCCTAGGCTGGAGTGCAATGTTTCAATCTCGGCTCACTGCAACCTCTGCCTCCTGGATTCAAGTGATTCTTCTGCCTCAGCCTCCCAAGTAGCTGGGATTATAGGCACACGCCATCACTCCCAGGTAATTTTTGTATTTGTAGTAGATACAGGGTTTCACCATGTTGGCCAAGCTAGTCTTGAACTCCTGACCTCAAGTGATCTGCCCATCTCGGCCTCTCAAAGTGCTGGGATTACAGGTGTTAGCTGCCACGCCCAGCAGAACCTTGATCTTTTAAATGTGAATTTCAGATATTTCTATGACCTGTAAGGGGAGAGGTGGGGAAGATGAAGGTTGAAGGGATTATTGAATAAGTAACTATCTGTACTAGCTACTCAATACATGAGTTATTTGATAATAGCTATATAAAACAAGCCTTATTCCCATGTTAATAAATGAGAAATTGAAGCTCAGAAAGGTTAAATAATTTTGCTAAGATCACTATGTGACCCAAATTCCAGTTGAAATTGCCTAGACAAATCCATTTTCAAGCAGGGCGCAGTGGTGTATGTCTGTAGTCCTAGCTATTTGTGGTCTGAGGTGAGAGGATTGCTTGTGCTTAGGAGTTCACGTATAGCTTTGGCAACATAGCAAGAACCTGTTTCTAAAAATAAATAGGTTGGGCGCAGTGGCTCATGTCTGTAATCCCAGCACTTTGGGAGGGAGGCCAAGGCACGTGGATCACTTAAGGTCAGGAGTTCAAGACCAGCCTGGACAACATGGTGAAACTGTCTCTACTAAAAATACAAAAAAATTAGCTGGATGTGGTGGTGTGTGCCTGTAATCCCAGTTACTTGGGAGGCTGAGGCAGAGGCAGAATAGCTTGAACCCAGGAGGCAGAGGTTGTGGTGAGCTGAGATCATCCCACTGCACTCCAGTGTGGCAACAGAGCGAGACTCCCTCTCAAATAAAAATGAACAAACAATCCATTTTCTTCCCTCTACACCAGAGGTCAGCAAACTTATTCTGTTAAAGGCCAAATAGTAAATATTTTAGGCCTCGTAAGCCATAGAGTATCTGCTGCAACTATTCAGTTTTCCTGTTGTAGCGTTAAAGCAGCCACTGAAAAGTGTAAACAAATGAGCATGGCTGTGTTCCCATAAAACTTTAAGGACAGTGACATTTGAATTTCATATAATTTTCATATGTAACAATACTATTATTACTTGGATCTTTCCCCCAACCATACAAAAATATAAAACCCATTGGTAATGCATGGGTCTTGCATAAACAGCCTGGAATTGACACATGGGTCATGGTTTGCTGACCCCTCTTGTACACCATAACATCTTCTTGGAAGTACACCTCTCTTAGGCCTTTGTTCCAAACAATACTGGTTAGGAAAGACATGGAAAGAAGAAAATGAGACACATTATTTTTTGTACGCTATAGGTGATTGAGGGGTTGTTGCTACATAGCCCCCTCAATTAATGCTGTAGGAGTCTTATTCTAACAATAAATGTTAGAATATGCAGTTGGGAGTCTTATTCTAATGTTAAATGTCTCTTTTGTGGCTTATCCTAACCTTAAAATTGTAAATTCATTTAAGAAAGATGGCTTTTTTTTAAGACAGAGTCTCACTCTGTCACCCAGGCTGGAGTGCAGTGGTATAACCATGTCTCTCTGTAGCCTCAACCTCCCAGGCTCAAGAGCTGGGAGTACAAGGTGTGCACCACCATGACTAATCTTTTTTTTTTTTTTTTTTTGGATACGGGTTCTCGCTATGTTGCCCGGGCTGGTCTTGAACTCCTGGACTCAAGTATTCTGCCTGCCTCAACCTCCCAGTGTTGGGATTACAGGTGTGAGGCACTGTACCTATCTTCTTACTGTAAAATTTCCTTTAATGCTTCATAGTTGGTGTATAGTAAGTGCTAACTAAATATTCACTGATAAGCATTGATCAGATGCTGCCAAATACTGTCTTTATTCACAGATGATAGTCAATGGGCAAAACATATAAGCAGTTACAATGATTTGAGAAGCAGTATAGCAGTCAGGCTATATGCATGATTTAACAACAAAATTATCACTTCCTTTTAATTTAGTCTAAGGGATAATTTAAAAAGCATTTCTTGGCCCTATCATTTCAGTTCCAGTTGTTATTATGTGTAAGTGAACACTAAGTTTGACATTCCTTTCTCTCACAGAACCATTTTGGTGATCTAGATGGTGGCCACTATGCTGCTTTCTGCAAGAATTCGGTCACACAGGCCTGGTATAGCTTTGATGACACGAGTCGGTGAGATTCCAGGTACTTCCGTTCAAAACACTACAGCTGATCTCCTGTTCTACAGCTGTCAGCCCTTTTCCATACTGATACAAAAGTGTTAAAAGCCAGGAAAATGGTGTTTCTGGAACACTGCAAAACAAGCAGTCAGCATGTGGTGGTAGAGTTTTGTCATTAAACTCTTACAACGTACTTGCATCAACATTTTTACGTCTTTCGGGAATGTTATACAACCTTTTATCTTAAGTCTGTCACCCAGAAGATGGGTCCTGGTTCACTGAAAAAGGCAGTGTGAAGATAATGCAATGCTAATGGACAGAGGCCTTCAAAACACTGCAGATTATTACATAATGAGTTCAGGTTTCAAAATTCAGTGTTTATCAGAAAATATCTCATATATAGTAAACAAATTATTTTCCAAAGATACTTCAATAATTTTTATTCAAATGGCTCTGTGAGTTTAAGAATGTGATCTGCATATATCTGATACAATAATTTAGCCAATAAGTAAGTGGTAAGTTTCTTAGACTAACTAACTGTAAAACATGAAGCTTTCAGCTTCACAATCTGAACCCCATCCTTTCATCTTCTCCCTGAAAGCCTGCTAATGGTGATCTCTTTCTGAAGTACTTTTAGAATCTTATTTTATATAGAGTGTTTTATTGGCTACACATATAGCTGAGTCCCTTGGTTTAATATATCACTCTGTGAAGATGTGGTTTATAATGCAGTTCACTTTGCAATCATGCCTGATGCCTAGCATTTTTACCTTAATATGTAGAATGAATATTCTCAATATATGAGAATACTAGTCTTGAAAGAATGGCTCTGGGTGTTATATAGCACATGTGTGTGTATAAAATCTATGGTTTTACATACATAGATACACTGTATTTGATAATATAATATTAAAGAAAAAACACACGGTTGTCAATTATTTTTCTCATTAAGATTTTAATGTAGCTGTAAATGAATTTTCATTTTAAAAAAATTAAAGAAAGTTTCCATTTATTTTTTTTTAGAATAAAGATTTAGTGCACAAATACAGCCCAAAGCCAACAGAAAAATAGCTCTGTCCTGTCGTTTCCCTAAGAAAGCAATGCAGTTACTCAAAATAGGCTGAAAGAAAAAAAAAAAAAGTAATCCTCTGAGTTCTAGTTTTCAGAAAAGGACCACATGTTAAACTATGTACATTGATTTGATGTGCAAGTATGCAATAAATATGTACACATACATTCCTATCTGCTTTACATCATTCTAGAGTATATCAAGATGGGATTTAGAAATGTGAAAAGGAAAAACAAGGATACAATGGTTTTTAGACCAGCAGAATAATAAGGCTTAGCTAGTTAATTATTTTAACTTTGGAGCAGACTAAAAAAATTGTTTTGAAATAAATGGTACCTGTGAGTGATGCTTACTGCAATACTTGTTAAATGTTATTTGTCAGCACTGACCGGAATTATATAGTGCTAATAACATAGCTCCCACTGTCCTAGAATTCCTCTAAATGGCCAGCTATAGCTACCATTATCTTGATAAGCATTTCAAGAGTTGTGTTGCTGAGCCTTTTAAAAGATAACTAGTTTATAACCTATGCCTCCTTATGTGGCTACATCAGTTACTCGTGGTCCCAAGGAAGTGTAAAAGAGGATATAAGCTGCTGAAGATTTCACAGAAGAAACAGAGATATCGGAAACTTCGTGATCATCAAACTTAAACCACCGTTGTCTTGCTGCATTTTTACAATAGGCTGTGTAGTGGCCTCCATCCAGCCCGCCGTAGTGATTCTGTGCCAAACAGGATAGAAAATCAATTCAATTTAAATTGTTATTTAAAATATGCCAATAGTTTCAAAGCTTTATGTTCTTACTCTCCCATGAGGTAGGAAACCACTTGAAACTTCTTATTTTAACTTGCTTTGAAACAAATAGTCTTCAGTTCAAAGAGATACTTACTGAAACAGAAAACAAATTGTATTTCTTCAGATTGTTCTTTGGACCAATAACATACTGTGACAAGTCAAGATTTTCTAAGGGAAAGTCCACAGATGTCTGTAATTTTTGTTTCCACCTGCCATCATAGGAAAAACTGCAGAACAAAACGTTACAATTATACTGACAGAGAAAGATACTAGGATGAATCCTCATTCATTAACATCCAGAATTGTAGAGGTAGAACTACACTCTGGTCCAGCTACAACTGCTACATGAGTCTTCTACAAAGGTAAGACCCGCATGTTTATAATGCTGATCACCACAAAAGCAAAGAATGAAAGTCAGAAATTGACAGTAGGGAGACTATTGACTAAAACAATGGCATTCATTCCATTCTGGCATATTCTGCTCCTTTAAACATCAAAATAATGATATATTGGTTGGTGTAATATGGTTATTTCAGAATTTTAAAAAATATTCAGCATTAAAAATTTTAACAAATGTGTAATCACTTATAGAATGTTTATGCCTCCACAATTCTGAAATAAGACAATGGTAAAAACTAGCTTTTGTTAGAAAGCTTTTGTTTTTTTTAATCTTAATATAAGATAAAACATTTTTAACAAATGCTTTGACACAAAAATTACAGTTCTCAATAAAAAAGTGCAACTTTAAAGTTTTTCAAAAAATCAACTCTGAGTTCTCACCTCACAGATGGATTACATGAAGACAAAAGAATCAGCAAAAGAAATAGTTTGTGTTTTATAACTCTTGTCATTATTCCTTCTATTATAGGACTAGATCTTTTCCATCAATTGGAAAATCTGGACAAAATTATTTCTGCACTTAATGGAATTTATCATTAACATATTTTATCTTTAAAATTATACTTTAAAAATTATAAATTTCATTTAACACATGGCTATGCTTAGTCTGCTGTTTGAATTTTTGATTTCATGTGCTAATTTGTGTTTGAATTATATGTATAATTTTTTATACATTTTTACTTAATGCTTTGTAATTATTTAAAATTATGTCTGAAACGCAATGATCATAAGAAATGACATGAACTAGTGGTACTGTCATTTTCCTATGGTATTGAAAACACTGAGATGAACTAACATTTCTGCTTTATCTCCCTAGATCTACTGTAACCAGATAATTGTTCTTTGTTACGAACCCATGGCAGGCAGTACAAGTATAAATTACACAGGACTTAGAATTTCTTCATTTAATTTCACTGAACAGGAAGAAAAACTTTTTCCTTTACCGTTTCAGATGCACTAAAAGCACAGGTGGTAACTTCCAGATTTCTATCTTTTTTAGAGAATCCCGTCGAGCTCTGCAATGACTGCAGTAAAATCTGTTGTTATCTGTGAGTTTTTCTTCTTTGGAAAATAATCTAAGGCAATCCTGGCAGAAAAAAAACAAGTAGCAGATACTCATTAATTCATTTCTTCAACAGTGTCAAAGAGCATCTATTTAGTCACTCTGCAGGCACCAGTGATTCAATAAACTACACAGAAGAGTTCCTGCCCTCCCAAAGCTTGTGATCTAGTGAGGAGTGTAGACAAGTGAACAAAGACAGCACAGTGAGTGGTGAGTGCTATCTACAATGTGTTGTGACAGGACACAGGAAAGCCCCTAACCTGATCAATCAGGGAAAACCTGTTGGAGGAAATGATATTCTGGAGGTTTTTAAGACTAAAGGTATCAATAAGCTATTATATAAGAAATGTTGTTGATATACAGAAAATAGGACATTTACTTGCTATCCCCATGTAAAAAATGCTTATGAAAAGTAGGTCTAATTTGAAGTCAACAGACAACCTTCCAAATTGACTTATAAAACTTCTTAAAAACATATTAGCAATTCTGAAAGAATATTTAATAACGGTACTTTAAAAATTTTTCTAATTCTTTCTCATCTACATAGGCCTAATTATAAAACAGAATTTATATTGAGTTTTACCGATAAAATGTTTATAAGAGTAAAGACCAGAAATAAATTAAACAACATATATCTCTATATCCATATAAACAGCATTTTTATCCAATAAATCATTTTCTATCTTAAATTTACCTGTAATGTACATTTACTTGTGGATGCTAGCGGTAGAGACAAATACATGAAGGCCTCAAATGTCCTAGACTTTTTGTGACAGGTGAGGCACTGTACTGTAGATTTGAATTGACCCTGAAAAAGTGCAACAATTATAGACTCATTGAGCTGCTTGTGTTTCTGCCAGGCATGTTCTGCAGCTTTAAAGTCATCGAGATGATCATTATTTTCTTCTTTATATCTCTTCCGATTATCAGCCTGGAAATAAGATTATTTAAGCTCTATATTAATATCTCAAAAGACAATACTCAAATATAAAATGAAAGAATAAAAGTAAATGTAAACACTATGCAGATTTAGAAATACTTGTAGTTCTCACAAAGGAGTTGTGATCTCATTGAGTGTGGCAAAAATAATTCTAGCCAAAAATACTGAAAAAAACCCACTTTATCAAAGAATGTGACTTGCTGAAATTTCCCAAATTTTTATTTAAAAAGCTGAAAAGGGTCAGACCTGGTGGTTCATGCCTATCATCCCAGTATTCTGGTAGTCCAAGTCAGGAGGATTGCGTGGGGCCAAGATTTCGAGACCAGCCTGTGCAACGGTGAGAATCCCATCTCTAGCAGAAAAAAAGCTAAAAAGGTTGGTTTTGAAAAAAGATATCCTACATATAGCTGGGAATTAAGGCTACAACTAGACAGATAAAATTTTGTTGCTGTAACCTCATGATATGTATAGATACATATTTGTAAGTGTATTGTGCTTATATATATATATATATATATTCGGTGGTAAGAATGGTGACCCCAAAAGCACATGTTAAAAAGTGCTTAAAAAAAAAAAAAAAGCTGTAATATACAAATGGAGGGTGGTCATTTATATATAGATACATGCCTCCATAATAACTAGTCACATGAGTCATTTGGTTACATGAAATAATTCTCTTTTTTGGCAGTGGGGGGGACAGAGTCTCACTCTGTTGCCCAGGCAACAGATTGTGCAGTGGTACAATCTCGGCTCACTGCAACTTTTGCCCAGGTTCAAGCGATTTTCTTGACTCAGCCTCCTGAGTAGTCGCGATTACAGGTGCGTGCCACTGTTTCTGGAAAATTTTTGTGTTTTTAGTAGAGATGAGGTTTCACCATGCTGGGCAGGCTGGTCTTGAACTCCTGATCTCACGTGATCCGCCAGCCTTGGCCTCTCAAATGCTGGGATCACAGACATGAGCCACTGCACCCAGCTGAGTAATTCTTATTTTAGAATAAACCATAAGAATAGGGCATGTTCCACTTTCAGCAAGGGAATGGGAAAAATAATAACATACATATATTACATATGTGAAATTATGTAACAAAGATGCTCAAACTGTCTATAATCTTTTATAAGATCAATTGCTTATAATTTTACTTTCACATATGTGGGTCACAAACTCCAAAAACTGTTTTAACATTTGCAAATTTTTCAGCAATACTGCTTGTTAATTAGTAATACCAACTGTATATGCTTCAAATATTACAAAATTACCAGATGTTTTATAATTCTCTTATACAGTCATTATCTGAATAAACAAGTAGTGAACTGTCACCAACTAGAATTTTAAATTGCTATAAAAATACAGTGCTACTGAGCAACCCTAAACAGTCTCTGAAACTTAGAAAAATCAAATTTCTTACTTTATTTAGATCTTCATGGAGGCCATCCATTAGGAATAGAAGCAGTTCTTGTGAATCTTGCTGACTGTATCCTGCAAACTGGTCATTGATCTTCCCAATGGTGATTTTAAAGTCTTTTGGACTGATATATCTATACTGTCCTGTCCACAGGGCTTTCATGATTATACCAAATTCTTCTGCCACTTCACCTTTATGCCCCAATAAATTTGACCTGTGCAAATAAAAATTACAAAAGACAATAAAGGAAGTTTAAAAGTTAAGTAAGGCACAGTGGATTCAAGACATCATTCACAAATTGTAGCGCTACATTAAACTACATATTTACTTGCAGGCTTACCACCAGATTCTCATCTGAATCTGACTTGCTTACATCCCTTCAGCTTCCCTCTTTTGGCGGCAAGCCCTGCATGGTCTCATCAACAAACTCCAGTTAATGACAGTGAGGTTCTGCCTTCCAGCACTGCTCTCATCCTGTCTGTCCTTTACGAATCAGAGAAGGTTTTCTCTAGATTACTCTCTTTTTGTGAGATAGATAGGGTCTCACCCAGGCTGGTGGAGTACAGTGGCACAGTCATAGTTCACTGTAGCCTTGACCTTCTGGGCTCAGGTGATCCTCCCACCTCAGCCTCCCAAGTAGCAGGGACTATAGGCATGTGCCACAACACCTAACCAATTTTTGTAGCGACAGAGTTTTGCCTTGTTGCCCAGGCTGGTCTCAAACTCCTGGGTTCCAAGGGATCCACCCTCCTCAGCCTCCCTAAGTGTTAGGATTAGCAGTGTGAGCCAGAATGCCCAGCCTTCATTATTCCTACAAATAAAGATATTTTCCCCTTTCTAATTTGACTTCTCTGGTGCTGAATGGTAAGTATTAAGGTTTGAAAGGTAAAATAGGTTCTTGATGTCAACATGAAGTTATTCACATACTGTAGCCCTATACCGAAATGCTTATTTATTCACAGGTTTATCACCAAATTCTTAACTAAATCTCAATTCAAAGATCCCAAAATTCAGGTGTTGCCAATGTGATAGGATTAAGAGACGGGCCTTTAAAGAGGTGACAGTGCCAAGAGGGCTGCCCTCCCTCGTAAATAGGATTAGGTGCTGTTATTAAAGGGCTTGACAGGAAGAGTTTCTCCTTTTGCACTTCGACCTTCTACCATGTGAGGATACAGCAAAAAAGCTTACCAGATGCCAGCATCTCGATGATGGCCTTCCCAGTCCAGAACTATGAGAAAATAAACTTCTGTTCTGTTCTTTACAAATTACCCAGTCTCATGTATTTTGTTATAGCAGCAGAAAACTAACAGACTAAGACGGTAAATACGGTTAGATCATCCTTTAGCATTATAATACAAAAAGTATGACGTTTATTTACCTGTTAATATCATCCTGATAACAGTTTCGGTTGAAATAATCAGCCAAATGTGGAGCATTACATAGGCACTGCAATATTGAGTTCATATAACAAGTATTTCCTAAGTTACGAAGTCCAGTGAGAGCTGGTCCAGAACCTCCAAAAACAGGATTGAGGTTCCGAATCTGAGAAGCAGAAAGCCTTGAGATCTCAGCTTTAGGGTAGCATGTTGGCCTGAGGAAGAAAAAGCATACAAGATGTCTTAAAATGCTGAGCGTCTTAAATTAAGGTTCTATACTATAAAAATGGCAGCAAACCTGTAGGACAGGCATCTTGTAAACAGTTAAAGTGTTAAATCATAAGGTGCTGGGTCTTCTAGGACATTTAATATTTAGGTCAACATTAGTCATACGACTAAGGTCTGAGACCTTTCCATGAAACACAAACCTTTAACCTTTAACCTCTTTTTGTTGTTGTTGAAATGGAGTTTCGCTCTTGTTGCCCAGTCTGGAGTGCAATGACGTGATCTTGGCTCACTGCAACCTCTGCCTCCTGGGTTCTAGCGATTCTCCTGCTTCAGCCTCCCTAGTAGCTGGGATTACAGGTGCCCACCAGCATGCCTAGCTAATTTTTTATATAATTTTTAGTAGAGATGGGGTTTCACTATGTTGGCTAGGTTGGTCTCAAACTCCTGACCTCAGGTGATCCACCCACCTCAGCCTCCCAAAGTGCTGGGATTACAGAAGGTTCTTTTAAACTCCTTTAAATGATCCCTGGAAGTCTGGCATTATAAAATGTTTGAACTAACCCAGAAAGCCAATGTGTGTTGACTATCCATGGATGGCTAGTCAAAAAACACAGTTCTGGCTGGGCGTGGTGGCTTATCTCTGTAATCCCGCCATTTTGGGAGGCTGAGATGGGCAGATCACCTGAGGTCAGGAGTTTCAGACAGCCTGCCCAACATGGTGAAACCGCGTATCTGTTAGAGATAAATACAAAAAGTAGCCAGGCGTGGTGGCACGCACCTATAGTCCCAGCTACTCAGGAGGCTGAGGCAGGACAATCGTGTGAACCCAGGAGGCAGAGGTTGCAGTGAGCTGAGTTCATGCCACTGCACTTTATCCTGGGTGACAGGGTGACACTCTGACTCAAAAAAAAAAAACAAAAACAAAAACAAAAACAAAAAAGCAGTTCCTCATTTGCACTAAGGAGGAACAAACTTTTCAAAGTAGCCACAAACCATACTGGACAGCACAGATGGAGAACATTTCTGTCACCATGGGAATATCTACTGGACAGTGCTGGAGCAGAGAATGCCTTCTAGACTTTTTAATGTGGTATATTTGATTTATATATGGAACTACTAGAACTGCTATAGCATAAAGAAAATCTTAAGGGATAGGTCTTTTTTCTTAATTAATCCTTAACCTTCTTCCACCCCTAAAAGTAACACCGAGAACGAATTAAACTATATTTCAATCAGCTTTTCTCTACACGTGCTCAGTTGCATTTACTCATGTACTCTTTCTCTGTTCTATATATATAAAAATATATGAACAGCATGATAGTCCTTCAAGCACTGTCAAATTAACACACTTTACTAAGAATGATGATTCAAGAAGAAATTAAATCTCACTAGTTATTATAATGAACCCTAAAATCTGTAACAAGATTAAGAGAATTTTTAAAAGCTCCCTCGAATAAGTCCTCACCTTGCAGGTAAGTTCTCAGGAGGAAAAAATTTCAACTACTTTCTTAGAATGTGTTATGAAGGAGGCTTTAAGACAGCCCAATTAAAATTCCCTAGCAAATACAAAAGTGTGTATAATAAATGGGGGGAAAACCCCATTTATTTATATTTCCACCTATTTGCCCCCTCCTCCCAAAAAAGTAAAGATTAAAATAGTACACAGACTTGAAAATCATCTCCTCATAGACCTATCAGTCATAAGCTAAGAAGATTCCAAAACAGATAAAGCCAGAACTATAGTTAAATGAGAACCTATTTTGGGAAACTTAATGAACTTATTGGTCACTATTTTTATGAACAGAATAGCAAAAATACAATAAAGGAAAAAAGAACAGAATAAGGATTAGAGGCTGATATACTAAAATGCTTGTTATTTTAATACCAGAGGAAAACTTTGCTCACATTATTGGCTAAGGAAAAAAAAAGTTTGGAACTTGAGTGCTGCAACAAGATAAGCTCAATAACCCTGTAAATTATGGTCCTCAAAGGGAGATTCAAGGGCCATAGGAGGTCTATGAAAAACGTGAGGGGACTGGCATGCCGTTGTAAAACACAACAATGTTATTATTTACATTAACACTTCAAATAATCCTCTCTGGTATGATATTAAGTGAGCACTTGGGAGGAAAACCAACAACATTTTCTCTATTCTTTCTCTGTGGTAAATAGTAATGGCTGGTATAGATATCCACAGAAATTTCTGACTCCCTGACACTAATATGCTGCTAGAGTTAGAGTGGAAATGTTGAAATACAGCACATTATTTTAGTACTGGGAGTTAAGATAAACATACTTGTTTTCCCGATTAACTGTCGGCGTTACCATTGGCTTCCTCTTCTCTTCCTCTTGAATAGCCTGGGTTATATCTGGGGAGGAGTAGGAGCGCTTCAGTTTGGAAGGTTCTCTGTCCCGCTCAGCAGGAATCTGTGGCTTGGCTTTATGAGTGGGAGGTGTGGAAGGAGGTGCAGATGAAGGAGCCATTTCCGGTGGGTACATATGAACAGTGTTGGTGGGTGAATGATAATAACGAAAGGTTCCAGTGATTGGGTCAAGAAACTTAAAAAAAGAAAAAAAAATAGGTCAAAAAACAAAATAACCATTATATACACAAACAAATTACTCCAAAGTATTCTGCTAAATTTACTTTTGGATTAAAATAATTTGAATAAAATGGTGATAAACTTCAAAAGAAATTTAGGTTTTAAAGTAAAACACTCTTTTTTTTTGAGAGGGTCTTGCTCTGTTGCCAGGCTGGAGTGCAATGGCGCCATCTCGGCTCACCACAACCTCCACCTCCAGGGTTAAAGCAATTCTCCTGCCTTAGCCTTCTGAGTAGCTGGGACTACAAGTGTGTGCCACCACGTCCAGCTAAGTTTTGTATTTTTAATAGACGGGGTTTCACATGTTGGCCAGGACGGTCTCGATCGTGATCTGCCCACCTCGACCTCCCAAAGTGCTGGGATTACAGGTGTGAGCCACCTCACCTGGCCGTTTCTAAATGACAAATGCCAGAATGCTCATATACTGTAGCCAGCATCTCAGGTTGGGTATTGAGAAATCTCACCCTGTTATAATTAGGGGGAAAACCCCATGTGCTCTGTAATGGAGAAATGGAATTAACTTTGCATTACAGAGTATGTAAAATAAACATGTTAAAAACATATTTTTTAGGAACACAGTGGTTATTTTACTGCTAAATTTGACTTTTACCTTGGCCCAGCCTGAAGGCAGTCCTGGTACGATCCTCCCCATTTCTTCACTTCTTGCTCTTGTCAAAGGTTCTCGTTGAGCCTAGTTTAAAAAAAAAAAAATCTAACTTTTCAATTAAATTTTGTCATATAAAAACTTAAGCTACTTGTACCAAAGAATCAAAAATACCTTGCCTTGGCTGCCCTTAATATTTTAAAAAACAGATTCAAGATGAAAAACAATTATCTTTTTCTTAAAGCACAAATATTACTATACCACGGTGTTGTGGAGTATGTCTAAGCCTGTAATGATAGCAGGTGGCAAGGTGGTGGTAGATGGCTTCTGTGGTAGTTCATGGGGAGGAAGACAGTGGATCCAAGCAAATAAGAAAGGCCACAATTTTGGTTTTATAAAATTTTGCATCTCAAGCTATTTTTAGTCAATTTTAAAAAAAATTTTCCACAGTAAACGATTACATAAAATATAAACCTATATTCTTCAAGACTGAGTGTGCCCTTTCTCTGTATGCCAAGAGGTTTGAGTAGAGAACAGATGATATAGCATCCTAGCAAATGAATATTCATAAGAAAGGCTACAAAACTTCATTATCATGGTCTATTGTAAATCTACCTAAAGTCGTCTTGCTCTCCCAACATTTCTTCTTCTGTATTCATTCATTCCATAAAATACTGATGAAATGTTATGTAAGTAAAAACAAAGCAGCATATTGAGGCATCAACCTCAATATAACTGAATATGATACTTCCATTTCCTTTAAAAACTTATTAGTAACAGAAAACAAAAATGCCCGATGAACCACCCATTTCTATTTTTATGTTCTTCTTGTCTTAAAATATATACATTCTAGGCCAGCTCATGCCTGTAATCCAGCACTTTGGGAGGCCAAGGCAGGAGGATCTCTTGAGCCCAGGAGTTTAGAGATCAGCCTGGGCAACACAGACCGTGTCTCTACAAAAAATTTTTAAAAATTAGCCAGGCTTGGCCGGGTACAGTGGCTCACGCCTGTAATCTGTGCACTTTGGGAGGCTAACCTCAGCAGTTTGGATGGATGAGGCGGGCAGATCACCTGAGGTTAGGAGTTTGAGACCAGCCTGGCCAACATGGTGAAACCCCATCTCTACTTAAAAAGATACAAAAAGTAGCTGGGCATGGTGGTGTGTGCCTGTAATCCCAGCTACTCGGGAGCCTGAGGTAGGAGAATTGCTTGAATCTGGGAGGTGGAGGTTGCAGTGACCTGAGTTCATGCCACTACACTCCAGCCTTGGCAAGAGAGAGAGACTGAAAAAAAAAAAACAACCCCAAACAAACAAAAAAACCCAGGCAGGCCTGGTAGCATGCACCTGTGGTCCTAGCTACTCCAGAGGCTGAGGTGGGAGGATCACTTGAGGCCAAGTGATCAAGGCTTGAGCCCAGGAGGTCAAGTGAGCTATGATCATACCACTGTACTGCTGCCAGGGTGACAAATTCTGTTGAATACAAACATGTAATAAATAGAATCTGTGTGCTAGAAAAAAATTCTGTCAAAATGAAGTCAAATAGCACAACTATCCACATGCAAAAAGATAGACTCAGACCCTTATCATACTATATATAAAAATTAATTTGAGATGGCTCATACATCTAAGGATTAAAACTAAAACCTTAAGAAGAAAACATAAAAGAAAATCTTCATTACTTTATGACTCTGGGTTAGACAAAAATGTTCCTTAGACACAATACCAAAAGCATAATCCACATGAGAAAAATATGACAGAATAGACTTCCACAAAAACTTTTGTGCTTCAAGAAACTCCATCAAGAAAATGAAAATATAAGCCACATATTCGGAGAAAATGTTTGCAAATATCATTTGAAAAATCTTTAGAGATGGGGTTTCACTATATTGCTGAGGCTGTTCTTGAACCCTTGGCACAAATGATTCTCCTGCCTCAGTCTCCCAAGTAGCTGGGTCTGCAGGTGCGTGCCACCACACCTGTGCTTGTACTCGCACTGATGATGACCTTATAGATTTTAAAAACACTACCCTCAAGCATTTAGCACAGTGCTAGAGACACAGTAGTAGCTTAGCAAATAAGCTTTAATGGTGAGTAAATCTTGAGAAGGCTGAGCCTTCTTAATATCTGACAATTACCTTAAAATGTTATTTAATCAATACTTGTCTGTGGCATTTTACATAGAATGAGTGGAGAGTGGATTATACAGCTTGACATTTAAGAAAGCCGGAAGATATATTCAGTACTGTTGCTTCCTGAAGGGCAGAGATGGGGCAAGATGGCAGGTGGCCAACAAGAACAACTTTTGCTTTCCTTTCAATGTTGCCAAAGACCTTGGCTGTGGCTGGTGTGAAGCCCTGCTTAAAATGTCAGGTCCAGTAGGAATAGCTGCAAACCTCCATTTTAACTTTGTATTTTTTAGTTTTTAGTCTTCACTTTGTGGTTCCAGTCATCTAATCCCTACTCTTTCCCTCTAAAAGAACAGAAGAATGTCAGGAGAAGGCATGTCTATCTATCATCTATCTATCTATCTATCTATCTATCTATCTATCTATCTATCTATCTATCTATCATCTATCTATCTATCATCTATCTAATCTATCTATATCTATCAATCTATATATAATAATCTTCATTTTCTTTTATTGTTAACTCATTTTCAGCTCTCTTGGGTTTCACTTTTGGAGCACGGCTGTTTGACTAGGACTGAAGTTCTTTATTTTGAGACGGAGTTTTGCTCTTGTTACCCAGGTTGGGTGGAGTGCAATGGCATGATCTCGGCTCACCACAACCTCTGCCTCCTGGGTTCAGACAATTCTCCTGCCTCACCCTCCTGAGTAGCTGGAATAACAGGCATTCGCCACCATGCCCAGGTAATTTTTTGTATTTTTAGTAGAGACGGGGTTTCACCATGTTGACCAGGATGGTCTTGATTTCTTGACCTCGTGATCCACCCGCCTCGGCCTCCCAAAGTGCTGGGATTACAGGCGTGAGCCACCGCACCTGGCTCCTAGGGCTGAAGTTCTTAATCTTTGTCAGGCTTACATATCTTAAGAAATTTTCTTTTTTGTTCTTAGAAGAACATCAATAAAACATAATGTGGTTTTATTTTTTCTCTATTTTTATTTTTCCATAGGTTATTGGGGTATAGGTGATACTTGGTTACAATCTAAGTTTGTTTGTTTGTTTGTTTTCATGTGGAATCTCACTCTGTTGCCCAGGCTGGAGTGCAATGGTATGATCTTGGCTCACTGCAACCTCCACCTCCTGGTTTCAAGCGGTTCTCCTGCCTCATCCTCCCAAGTAGCTGGGACTACAGGGACATGCCACCATGCCTGGCTACTTTTTGTATTTTTAGAAGAGACAGGGTTTCACCAGGTTGGCCAGGCTGGTCTCAAACTCCTAACCTCAAATGGTCCTCCCACTTTTGCCTTGCAAAATGCTGGCATTACAGGCGTTAGCCACCGTGCCCGGCTATTAATAAGTTCTTTAGTGGTGATTTGTGAGATTTTAGTGCACCCATCACCTGAGCAGTATACACTGCACCCTATTTCTAGTCTTTCATCCCTTGCCCCCCCCACCCTTGCCCCTAGTCCTCAAAGTCCATTTTATCATTCTTACATAACATGGTTTTAATGGGTTATGTGTTATATTTAATGACTGGTTCCAGGACCTCCCTCCCATACCAAAATCTGAGGATGCTCAAGTCCCTTGAACCTGAGAGGTGGAGGTTACAATGACCTGAGTTCATGCCACTGGACTCAAGCCTGGGCAACAAAGCAAGACTCCAAAACAAAAAAACAAAAACAAAAACAACCCCAGCCAGGCCTGGTGGCATGCACCTGTGGACCTAGCTATTCTGGAGGCTGAAGTGGGAGGATCGCTTGAGTCCATTTGGTCAAGGCTTGAGCCCAGGAGATCAAGTGAGCTATGATCACACCACTGTACTCCTGGCTGGGTGACAAATTCTGAGCATCCTCAGATTTTGGTATGGGAGGGAATTCATCTTAGATCTAAACAAATAAATTCTATAAATCATTTGACTTCTGTAGTTAATGAACATTTTTTGTATAAATATTAATGGATTTGTTCTTGCTGTGGCTCTTTAACTATTGCAGTGAAAAATAAGAAAATTGTGAATTCAGTCATTCTGGCCTTAATATATTTTATGCCATTTTTCCTCCTGTTTGAGACAGGGTCTCACTCTGTTGCCCAGGCTGGAGTGTAGGAGCATGATCACAGCTCATTGTATCCTTGATCTCCCCAGGATCAGGTGATACTCCCACCCCAGCTTTTGACTAGCTGGGACTACAGGCAGGTGCCACCATGCCCAGCTAATTTTTTATATTTTTTTCTAGAGACAGGGTTTCACCATGTTGCCCAGGCTGGTCTTGAACTCCTGGGGCTCAAGTGATCCATCTACCTCAGGCTCCCAAAGTACTGGAATTACAGGCATGAGCAACCATACCTGGCCCCCTTTTTTTCTCTTTCTGTGGAGAAATGGGATCTTGCTATGTTGCCAAGGCTGGTCTCAGATTTCTTCAATGGCAAAATACAGGAGAATGACTTAACAAAAATTTAACATGTTAAATTCACATAGATTTAGACTGGATATGCAGTTGGTCCTCCGTATTCATCAGTTCTGCATCTGTGAATTCAACCACCCTCAGATTGAAAATACTTGAAAAAAATTAATTCTGGCTGTAATGAACATGTACAGGCTTTTATTATTCCCTAAACAATATAGTCTAACATCTATTTTCATAGCATTTACATTGTATTAGGTATGTAAACTAGAGATTATTTAAAGTAATATGAGGATGTACATAGGTTATATGCAAACACTATACCATTTTATGTAAGGGACTTGAGCATCCTCAGATTTTGGTATGGGAGGGAGGTCCTGGAACCAATCATCTACAGATACCAAGGGACAACCATATATATATATCCCAGAGAAGACAGATCTATGGAGACAGAGAGTAGACTCGGTGTTGCCTGGGCTTTAGGGTAGACTAAATTGGGCATGGGGTCTTTTTGATGTGATGGCAATGTTCTAAAACTGGATTGTATTAATGGTTTCACAAATCTAAATTAATAAAAAAAATTCACTGAACTGCATGCTAAAAATAGGTGAATTTTAAATAAGAAAAAAAGGTGAATTTTATGGTATGCAAATTGTATCTCAATTAAGCTCTGAAAGAAAAACAAAGGCAAAGATGTCTTAAAGCCTATGTATTTTAAAAATTATGATGATATACACGTAACATAAAATTTACCATCTTAACAGTTTTTAGGTGCACTGGTTAGTGACATTAAGTATATTGCTGTGCCAACAATCTCCAGAACTCTTTTCATCTTGCAAAACTGAAACTCTGTACCTTCTGAACAATAACTCCCCATTTCCCCTTTCCCCAGCTACGACAACCACCATTCTACTATCTGTCTATATAAATTTGCCTACTTCACAAACCTCACAGAATTGGAATCATTCAGTATTTATCCCGTAACTGGCTTATTTCACTTAGCAAATGACCTCAAGGTTCATCCATGTTGTAATGTGTCAGAATTTCCTTCCTTTTTAAGGCTGAATAGTATTCCATTGTATGTACATATCACATTTGTTTATGCATTCACCTGCTGATGGACATCTGGGTTGCTTCCATTTTTCAGCTATTATGAATAATACTGCTAAGAGCATGGGGTACAAATACTTCTTGTTTGGAATCCTTTTGGATATATACCTTGAAGTAGAATTGCTAGATCATATGGTAAGGCCTAAATATTTTTTACTTTCATAAAATAGAATATGCTGTCAAACTTTAAATAGGAAGACAAACTCTATTTCCTTTAGCATATAAATGGATTGATCATGTAAAAACAAGCAAAAAAACAGCTACTAAAGATGGCAAAGATCCCATTACACTGTAGATCTCATGACAGAGGATGACAATGTGGTCAGATAATCACACAGTTATAATCCATTTTTGGTTTTTATTCCAGTTTTTTCCCTCAATGAACTACTTACTTTATTTCTTTCGGTATCGTCTGTATCCTCTCTAAAAGTTCCTGTCCTTAGAATTCCACTTTCTGGTTGTCCTTTAATCTTAAATGACTGTAAAATTATTAAAATTACATTAGTGAAAGAAAACTCTAACTCTCCTCCCAAAATAAAGCTACTAGCTAACACAACCAAATCTATGAGACTGAAACTGTAAAAGGAGACCTCTGAAAAGTTTATTGTATTTTATTGTCACATTCCAAATACTTAAAAAACTAAACAACACTGATGAATCAGTGAAGAAAAAAAGATGAAAATCAAAGTGGACTGTGAAGCACTGGTTCACACTACATGGCAGAGTATAAAATGCTGATCATTAATGTATACTCACCATGACCTCATTAGAACATTATTATTTTATTTAAATACTATTATGATTTTGGTTACCTTGAAAGGAGTTGTGTTTCAAAAAATATATATTCAAGAGAAAGAAGAAATTAAGAATTTTATACAGACCTATAGTCAAAAATACAAAATCCATATTTATATCTTCTTATAACCTCATAGATTCTTTTTAAAAACTTACTTTAGTTTTATATCTTATTTTAAAATAATTCTAAAAACTTTAAAATTAGTGATACTTTTAACAAAATTTATTCTAGAATAAATTACATATTTCTCCTACTTTTAAAGGAGCACACAAGGAATGTAATCTTTACTTAGATGTGTAGGAATATTTGGCACCTATAAACTAAATGACTCCTCAAATATGAATGATTTAAGTTCTAAAGACTGCATGCCTCTAGTATAGCAAGATAGAAAGGAAGTAGCTTTGGAATCTCACTGCCTATGTGATCTTAGGCAAATAACCTCTAAGCTTCAGTTTCACTTGTAAATTGAATACCATATGGGATTAGCATTAGGAGTAAATAAGATAATGTACTGAAAATACCTGGCATATACTAGCCACTCAATGAATAATACGTAAATTGTATGTTAAATAACAGCTCACATGTTTTGAGATCCTCCTGTGAATAAAGTTTAGTACATGGGCTTCATATTCCCAATGTGGAGTGTTAAGAAGGTTTTTGGATGGAAGCTATCTTTTTTAATAGCAGAGGTTGCCTTTATTGTGTTTGAGAAGTACAGAAATTGACATTCTGGGGCTGGGCACAGTGGCTCATGCCTATAATCCCAGCACTTTGGGAGGCTGAGATGGGTGGATCACCTGAGGTCAGGAGATCGAGACCAGCCTTATCAACATGGTAAAACCCATCTCTTGAAAAAAAAACGAAAGAAAGAAATTGATGTTCTGTAAAAATAGTATCCCGCCTTCCATTAGAAGTCATTTTCACACTACTAAAAATGTTTTTTGCATTTATATATATGTAAAAAAGACTATAACTGTTCTTGCTATTACAAACATATTTTTGGTGTTCAAAAGGAAAAGACATTGTTAATGCCATGATGAAGAAAAATAGAAAAGCATGGCATTATTAGAGACTGAACAATAATAATGTCCCCTAAAACTATGGGAATCAATTTTGGGTATGAAGCCAAGGGCAAAATTAGTTGGGTTATTTGCCAATATTATTTGAATAGATAAAGCAAGAAACAAAATGACACAGATCTGACCAAAAAATCATTATATGCAAAGATAAATGTTGGGCCATTTAGATGTCACTGATTTTGGATATACTGTAAGCAGATATAAATTCTATCATATGAATTTTGGCATCTAGTTCCTCTATACTGAGATGAGAAGGAGATTATATTTTACTGTAGTCTTTCCATGATCATACATCAAACATAAAAATGAAGAATGTAGCTACTTATCTCAATTAGTTGAAATACACTGCATTTTATAGATGCAGTATACAAAAAGCAATTTCATTCCCAACCAATCATTTCACAAATGCATGGCACTGGCCTCAAAGGAGCATAGGTGAGCAAATATGGACAGATCAGTACATTCTATCCCCCATGAAAAGACTACTTGAAATGCCTGTGCTTTTATGGAAGAATGCCACTGGTGTTACTATATTTTCACATACATTTTCTTTCACTTCACTGGCAATTTGTACTGTTGCTGCTTACCCTGCCTGAAACTGAATCCCCTGTTGCAGATGTAGGGGGCACATCTCCTGTTGACTTTTTCTGTACTTCTGGGGTTGGACACCTTTTCCCCCTATCTTCTACAGATTTCTTGGCATCCGAAGTTTCATGTTCACTTTTACTTTGTCTTTTTACTCCTGTTATTTCTTTGCCCCTCTTTGCTGAGGTTTCATTGTCTTCTTTCTTGGCTTGCTCACTTTCTTTCTTCTCTATTTCTTCTTTTGCTTTTTGTTGCTTCTCTGTAATTTCATTTTCTTCAGCTTCTTGTTTCTTTTTGGCTTTTTGTTCTTGTTCTTCCCTCTTCAGTTTCTCTTTCTGTTCCCCTTGCTGCCTTTCCCGAAGTTCTTTTTCTTGTTTGCTTTTCTCCATTAGAAGAGCAGTTTCTGCATGAATACGAGCCTTTTCTTCATCAGTTAACAAGAGAGTTGGAGAGGAAACTACTGGCTTCGTGGAACGATCAGGAATAACTTTTCCATTCTGAGGAGATGGTTGCTCATGATTTGTACTTTCAGATTTTATTCTATGCTCTTCAGGCAATTTGACTGCTGGTTTTTTAGTACGATCAATCTAGAGCAACAAAACCAGAGCAAAACATTTTTGTCAAAAATCAGGACAAAAACCTCAGTTCTTGAGATAAAGCTGTGATAAAAGAAGTGTCACTTTGTGGAGACAACATCTGTCAGTACATCCATTTGTTAAGCACTCACTGTCAAGATTTCTCATAAAACAGAACTTGAATGGGAGATATTAAACTGGCACTTACGTCCTCCTGGCTCAACGCTTTTAATTTTTCTTGAGTGTTTTTTATACAAAAGAGTTCCAAATGTTTTCATTCTAAGACATAAAACCTAGACCAGGTTTTATGTCTAAATGTAAGTTCCACTTCCAGATATCCAAATACCTACCCAATATCTCCATTTGAGTGTCAATACATATACCTCAAACTTCATATAGCCAAAATGGATTCATGATTCCCCTACTACTCCCACAAACATGGTCCTAATCTCATGGATGTTAACTACTCTCCCAATAGTTGCACAAATCAAAAACCTGAGTCCCTTATGTTCTTCCCATATCCTTCTGCATGCTGACAATTTTCTTCCTATATCTGTCCCTCCATCTCTTCTGCCACAAGCCAAGACCAGTCAACCTCCTTTCTCACCAGGACTACAGCATAGCTTTCAACTAGTTGCCCATCTCTTCTCTTGGCCCCACCTCCCAATCTGTTTTTCCACATTATAGCCAGCGTATTCATTTTAAAACAAATTTGACCATTTTCTCTCCTGCTTAAAACCTTATTTTAATTTGCTACCCATGCTCTCATTATATCTAAAATCTTTAGTACAGCCTGTAAGGCCATGTGTGGTCTTACATCTGCCTCTTTCTCCAGTCAAATGGCTATGTCTATCAGCCATACTTGCCTTTTAAAAGAAAAATCTGACCATGGCTCACACCTGTAATCCTACCACTCTGGGGGGCTGAATGAGGTGGGTGGATCACCTGAGGTTGGGGGTTCAAGTCCAGCCTGACCAACATGGTGAAACCCCGTCTCTACTAAAAATACATAGCTGGGTGTGGTGGTGCATGCCTGTAATCCCAGCTACTCGGGAGGCCGAGGCAGGAGAATCCCCTGAACCTGGGAGGTGGAGGTTGCAGTGAGCCAATATCACGCCAATATCTTGTTACTCTAGCCTGGGCAACAAGAGCGAAACTCTGACTCAAAAAAAAAAAACAAAAAAAAAACACTTAAAAAAAATTCTTCAAGGATGCTATGCTCCTTCCCAACTTAGGTCTGTCTATCAGCTCTTCATCTAGATAATGCCCACATTAGATCTTGGCTTACACATCTCTCCCTCTGAAAAGACTTCCCTGATTCCTAGAACCTAGCCAAGTCCCCTAATATATGCTTTTATAATACCTTATTATTCTCCCTCTGTTGGAAATCTGATCAAATAACTGTAATCACTTGTTTAAAATCTTTCTTCCCTCCTAGAATATAAGCTCTAAAAGGATAGAAACTGTGCCTGACACAGTTAATAACTATGTTACTGAGGGAACAAATGCAATCTTCCCTAACAACTTTTACAGGAGGTAAAATACTGTTTTCCTTCAAGTTGAGTAATAAACTACCTAAGTTTCTGATTTAATGAGTTAAATGTTTACTACCTCAAATTAACAACATATTAACATTACATCATTTTAAGATGTGACCCCAACATCATTTCTTGCAAATATTCTGTACTGGAACAAAAACAAAAACCTACAACAACATCTGCCAGTAACAATCTACATAGTGTTCTTATGAAACTAATTTATGTTCTTCTACTAGAAAACAACTTGCTGGATGCGGTGATTCAAGCCTGTAATCCTAGAACTTTGGGAGGCCAAGTCCTCCTAACTTGAGGCTAGGAGTTCGTCTCTACAAAAAATAGCCAGACGTGGTGGCATGTGGTTATAATCTCAGCTACTCAGGAGGCTGAGTTGGGAAGACTGCTTGAACCCAAGAAGGTGAGGCTGCAGTGAGCTGTGATCGTGCCACTGCATTCCAGCCTAGAAAAGAGAGTGATATCCTGTCTTCAAAAAAGAAAACAAAGAAGTTAGTAGAAAAAAATAATTTCTTGGCCGGGTGCGGTGGCTCACGCCTGTAACCCCAACATTTTCAGAGGCTGAGACAGGCAAATCACCTCAGGTCAGGACTAGCCTGGCCAACATGGTGAAACCCTGTCTCAACTAAAAATACAAAAATTAGTTAGGCGTGGTGGTGGGCGCCTGTAATCCCAGCTACTCGGGAGGCTGAAGCTGGAGAATTGCTTGAACCCAGGAGGCGGAGGCTACAGTGAGCGGAGATCGTGCCACTGCACTGCAGCCGGGTGACAAGAGCGATACTCCGTATCCAAAAAAAAAAAAAAAAATTGTTTACTTCTCTTTCTGCCTCTTAAAAAAAAATTCTGTCTTTTTTTCTACATGTATCTGAGAATAAAGTAAGAAGAACCACTATGGGGATGAAGTTAACAATATGAGGTGGAACAGAAACAAAAATAAATACTGTTTCCATTTACATTTTGGTGGCTTGATCTATTTTTCCCTAATCTTAAAAGCACAGTCATGTTACTCACAAGTTTAAAATTCTTTAATGGTTCCTTGGACCTAGAAGATGAAATTCAAATTTGATCCAAGTCTCTCTTGATGACTCTTGTCCATCCTTCTAATCTTATCTACTATCATAACTTCCTCTTTCCAACAGAGACTAGCACCTACATATGTTAAAACTGTTCACTAGGCCAGGGCCAATGGCTCACGCCTATAATCCCAGCACTTTGGGAGGCCGAGGCAGGTGGATCACCTGAGGTCAGGAGTTCGAGACCAGCCTGACGAACATGGAGAAATCTTGTCTCTACTAAACATACAAAATTAGCCAGGTGTAGTGGTGCATGCCTATAATCCCAGCTACTCAGGAACTGAGGCAGGAGAAATGCTTACCAGGAGGCAGAGGATGTGGTGAGCCGAGATCACCCCATTGCACTCAAGCCTGGGCAACAAGAGTGAAACTCTGTCTTAAAAAAAAAACACACTGTTCACTGGCCCCAGAGAATGCTCTGTGCCTTTGGTCATATAATTTTCTATTTGCTTCTTCTATCCTCACCTCCTATTCTTAAAGCCCAGATAAAATACTATCTCCTCCATGAAGACATCCTTGATCTTCTCAGCTAAAATATTCTCCTTGATCTGTGCTCCAGTGGCTTGTAGAGCAATTATGATATAATGCCTTATGCTGTGGCTGTTTATACAGATCTCTCCTACCAAACATCAGAAGAATCTAAACTTTCATGCTACCTTTTCTTTCCTTTTTTTTTTTTTTTTTTTTTGAGATGGAGTCTCATTCTGTCACCCAGGCTGGAATACAGTAGCTCAATCTCGCCTCACTGCAAACTTGCTTCACAGGTTCAAGTGATTCTCCTGCCTCAGTCTCCTGAGTAGCTGGGACTGCAGGTATGCACCACCACGCCTGGCTAAATATTGTATTTTTAATAGAGACGGGGTTTCACCATGTTGGCCAGGCTGGTCTCAAACTCCTGATCTCAGGTGATCTGCCCGCCTCTGCCTCCCAAAGTGTTGGGATTACAGGCATGAGCCACCATACCCAGCCCTCATGCTGTCTTTTATATAGAAGATCCTCAAAATATGTCTGAAAAACTGTATATATCTCATAAAGTTATGCTGGGACACAAAAGGATTAGGGTTTAAATAGATTTAGTTGAAAGGAAATGCAATAACGTAAGTTCTTTTTAGAATTTCCTAAATTCACCCTTTATGAAAAGTTGTTTAATAGTCTACAATTTATTCTGCAATACCAAAAGATCTTAAAAATGAAGACATGAACCACTTCAGTTTATAACAAAAAATTACCAGATTTTCTATTCACAACTGGCTCCACAAATCAAATGTCATCCACTTTAAATGTGAAATACTATTTTAAATATATCTGGGGAAAAATTAAAAATGTATGCTAAAAAATGTTACTGGGAAATGCACAGAAGGGGAGCATTAGTTAACCTCTCTTTAAATAAAACCAAATAAAGGAAATAAAAACTAAAACTTTTTTATTGTTACATCTTGGTTATTTAAAAACCTTTAAATGACTATCATTAAACATGCCTGTTATTCATGTGTCAAATTCTAAGGAAATGGAACTAAAGTATTATTTTAAAACCAAAATACTGACATCACATACCTACCATATGTAAACCGAGCTATTTAGGAAAATACTATGGGTCAAATTATAAAAAATATCCCAAAAGGGCTATACTAATTCACTGTGGTATGCAATGTTTACTGGCATTGTTTGTAGCGAATGGATCGCCAGCTGGCTTTGAAATCCTTTGAATTATCTACTGTAACATAGATGTGGTGATAATGCTGAATTATGATGAAAAATTTTTAAACAAAAAATGTCAAAACATACATTCTTCTCATTGATACTTTTTTTCAAGGATCTTAAAGATTATATATTAAAATTCATTTTTATACTATGCATTTCTTTTCTTTTTTTTTTTTTTGGAGACAGAGTCTTGCTGTCACCCAGGCTGGAGTGCAGTGGTGTGATCTGGACTCACTATAACCTCCACCTCCTGGGTTCAAACAATTCTCATGCCTGAGCCTCCCAACAGTTGGGATTACAGTCACCTGCCATCAAGCCCAGCTATTTTTTGTATTTTTAGTGGAGATGAGGTTTCACCATGTTGGCCAGGCTGGTCTTGAACTCCTAACCTCAGGTGACCGTCTCAGCCTCCCAAAGTGCTGGGATTGTAAGCGTGAGCCACCGTGCCCAGCTACACTATATATTTAACATTAAAGCAAAAGAGAGAATAAAGTTAAAATCAAGAACATACCTGTGGAACATTCTTTATAGTAGGCACTGGCTGAATTATGGGTGAAACATCAGATTTAGAAGGAGCAACTGGTTCAACTGGAGTTGATATATTCAGAGGTCCCATTCTCTCGTTTTGATCACTTATCAATTCAATATTTTCATCTACTTCTATAGGTGGAGGTGACATCTGGGCAGTGGGTTTAGAAGGAATTGATTCTTCCAATGAAGGATAAGTAAAATCCACTAAAATCCCAAAAATAAAAATGTTTTTTAAGAATAGCAAACCCATAAATGGTACTTACATTTCTCATGCTCGTTAATGTAATAATTAAATGTAAAATAAGTGAAATGACAATTACAACAGTCAAAGAAAATGTGAATTTCCAGGCTTATTCTAATAGGACAAATGCACACACAACCAAGAATGCTTCCATGAAAACATAACTTTAAAGTATATTTTACCAAAGCAATTTTAAACAAAAACTTTCACATACATACATGAGATAGACACCTCTTCATTCTGGCGTCGTGGGGGTGGAGTGACCTTAGCATTTGTTGTATACTGGGGATAGCAAAGGAGCCAGTTTTCATAGCCTCCCTCTAAAACCAAAGGCTCATTGCGCAGGACAGTTTTACTTTCCCACTATAAATAAGGAAATCATATTTTTAATATGTCAGCCATCTTTCAACAGATAAAACCATAACAAATCCAAATTTTAAAGTTGTTGCCTTAAATACAAGAATTTATCTTCTAAATAATGACAAAAAGAACGGATTCAAAATTCAACATTAAATGAAATTGTTATATCGGTGGGGTTTTTAAAACCACACAAATAATCAATGACCTTAGAAGAAAAATTAGGAAATAAATTACTTAATATAAAACAAAAATGACCCATAATGTCACCACCCCAATACCACTTTATATTCTGGAATCTACTCTTATAGTTTTCATTAAAATCTTTATAATGTTGCTTTTCTTTTATATGAACATATTTCATCAATACAGAGATATGTCATCATTTGTAATGACTAGATAATATTTGACTACTGATTAACTGATTGATGGACTGAGACAAGGTCTTGCTTTATCACTCAAGCTGGAATGCAGTGGCACAATCAAGGTTCACCGCAGCCTTGACCTCCTGGGCTCAACTGATCCTCCCACCTCAGCCACTCTAGTAGCTGCAATGACAAGCATACATCACCATACCCAGCTAATTTTTGAACTTTTGTGAGGTGGGGTTTTGCCACGTTGCCCAGGCTGGTCTTGAACTCCTGGGCTTCAGTGGTCCACCTGGCTCAGCCTCCCAAAGTGCTGTTCTACTTTACAAACACACCAATACTGAGTCAATCATTTGAACATTTGGTTTTTTTTCCCCTTTAATTACAAGCAATGCTAAAATAAGCACCAAAGATCTTTATACATGCACGTATCTTGCCACCTCCTGAAGGAAAATTCCCAGAAAGGGAGTTGCTTAAGGTTTTCAATATATTGCTGATCTTAGAAATGATCACTTAAAAATATGCTGGGCGCAGTGGCTCACACCTGTAATCCCAGCACTTTGGGAGACCAACGTGGGCGTATCACGAGATCAAGAGATCGAGACCATCCTGATCAACATGGTGAAACTCAGACTCTACTAAGAATACAAAAATTAGCTTGGCATGGTGGCATGTGCCTGTAATCCCAGCTACTCGGGAGGCTAAGGCAGGAGAATCGCCTGAACCCAGGAATCGGAGGTTGCAGAGAGGCAAGACAGTACCACTGCACTGCAACCTAGTGACAAAGTGAAACTGTCTCAAAAAAATATATGTATATATACTTTTTAAAGATAATTACCTAGGAGTCGAATTGCTGATTTAAAATGATGCCCAGTTGCCCTTCGGAAAGGCTATACCAATTTACACACTTAACCAACAGGATATGAGAATGTCCATTATACATCTTTATAATTTTTACCAAACTGATGGACACAAATGGTATCTTGTTTTAATTAGTGTTTATTAGTGAAGTTGAACATTTTTAAATTTACTTACTATACATTTATATTGTTCTGTGACTTAACTATTTAATAATTACATCCTTTGCCCCTTTTTCTATAGTTATTTGCAATTTTCTTTTCTTTTTTTTTTTTTTTTTTTTTTGAGACAAAGTCTCGCTCCAGCCTGGGTGACAGAGTGAGACTCCATCTCAAAAATAAATAAATTAATTAATAAAATAAAATATTTAATCCCAACACTTAGGGTGGCTAAGGTGGGAGGAATGCTTGAGGCCAGGAGTTTGAGACTACCCTGGGCAACATAGCAATACCTTGTCTCTACTAAAAAATTTTAAAACATTAGGCAGGCATGGTGAGCACCTTTAGTCCCAGCTACTCAAGAGTCTGAGGCAGTAGGTTCACTTGAGCCAGGAGTTGGAGGCTGCAGTGAGCTATGACTGTGCCATGGCACTCAAGCCTAGGTGACTGAGAAAGACCCTGTCTTTAAATAAATAAATATAGATAAATACATTTTAAAAATACACAATTAGGCCTATTATGATTGTGTCTGTACTGAGCATGTACAGACTTTTTCTTCTTGTCACTATTCTCCAAACAATATGGTGTAACAACTGTTTACAAAGCACTTACTTTGTATTAGTTATTATACGGAATCTACAGATGATTTAAAGTATATGGGAGGATATGTGTAGTTTATATGCAAACACTATACCATTATATTTAAGAAATATGAATATCCATGGATTTTGGTATTTGTGGCAGTGGGGAGGGAGGGTCCTAGCACCAATCCCCCACAGATACTGAGGGACACTGTATTATTTTTTAAACCTTTGTTAACTTGGTCAGTGAAAATGGCATCCATTGTTTTAATATGCATTTATCTGATACTAGTAAAGTTGATCATTTTTATGGTCATGTCCACTTGCATTTCACTTTCTGTTCATGGCTGTCTGTGTCCACAACTTATTTTACTATTTTATCTTAAGTATTTTTCTTATTTGTAAAAGCTCTTTGGATTTTAGGTATTTTAAACCACGACCATATGTGTTGTAAATATTTTTGCCTATCTTCTGCCTTGTAATCACTTGTGTGTGTGTGTGTGTGTGTGTGTGTGTGTGTGTGTGTGTGACAGAGTTTTGCTCTTGTTGTCTAGGCTAGAATGCAATGGCGCAATCTTGGCTCACTGCAACCTCTGCCTCCTGGGTTCAAGCAATTCTTCTGCCTCAGCCTCCCAAATAGCTGGGATTACAGGCATGCGCCACCAAGCCTGGCTAGAGACAGGGTTTCTGCATGTTGGTTAGGCTGGTCTCAAACTCCCGCCCTCATGTGATCCGCCCGCCTCAGCCTCCCAAAGTGCTGGGATTACAGGCATGAGCCATCCTGCCAGCCTTGCCTTATAATCTTATAAGATCTTTTCACACCTAAGTTTTAATTTTACAATGTCTAATCGACCAATCTTTTTTCCCTCAATGACTTCTTCCTTTGCTTTTATGTTTTATAATCTAAATCTTAAAAAGTCATTTTTTCAGATAATTTATATTTCTCAAAATTCTAATATATTTTATATACATCAGTGTATTGTTATCTAGTGATTTTAAAAACTCTTTTATTTTACTTTTACTTTTCAAAATTTTTTTGAGGCAGGCCTTCATGCTTTGTCACCTAGGCTGGAGTGGAGTGGCAGTCTTGGCTTACTACAACCTCAACCTCCTGAGCTCAGGTGATCTTCCCACCTTGGCCTCCTGAGTATCTGAGACTATAGGCATGAGACACCATGCCTGGCTAATTTCTGTAGAGATGGGGTTCTCTCCATATTGCTCAGGCTGTTCTCAAACTCCTGGCCTCAAGTGATCATGCTATCGCAACCTTCCAATATGCTGGGATTACAAGCATGAACCACCAAGCCCAGCCAAAACAAATCTTTTAAATCTGAATTTATAAAAATTCTACAATTAAACTATCATGGGCTGGGTATGGCAGCTCAAGCTTGTAATCCTAGCACTTTGGGAGGCCAAGGTGGGTGGATCACCTGAGGTCAGGAGTTCAGGACCAGTTTGGCCAACATGGTAAAACCCTGCCTCGACTAAAAATACAAAAATTAGCTGGGTGTGATGGTTCAAGCCTGTAGTCCCAGCTACTTGGGAGGCTGAGGCACAAGAATCACTTGAACCTGGGAGGAAGAGGTTGCAGTGAGCTGAGATCACGCCACTGTACTCCAGCCTGGGAAACAGAGTGCAACTCAGTCTTAAAAAAAAAAGTATGATGTATCTTTTAGTATTTAAGATAAACAACTAGTTAACATGCCTTTCTAACCAACCAAAGGTGGCTTGCAATTGCAATACACTAACAACAAAACTTGCTAACCTTGAAAAGTGCATCTTTCAGACTCCGGAGAGTTGTTCCAATTTGTAAATCTTTGGCAGAACTAAACCAGTCAAGAAGTACCACATATTCCACATTCCCCCTCTTCTTCCATGTGTCTTTAGAATCATCTGGGAGGTGTGCTTCAATCCAACTAGCAGTGACTCTGAAATGTATTAACATTTGTATTGGAGCAAAAGTCAACAAGAGGTCCTAATATACTAACAGTAGACACTCAGTTTTGTTCTACAGTCTGTACCACACCATAGCAAACTTGAAGTAGATTCCTTTCTAAAGTGAGGTTATATATTAAGATATTAAACAGCCTAAAATGTTTAACCCCTTCACTACTGTATAATATTGGAACATAGTTTCAGTAATTATTAAGAGACTAAAAGAAGACTCTATTCTTTTCATTCTGACCCTTCATTAAAAAAAGCAGCGGGGAGCAAAACTAAAAACAAATTGTCTGAGCTCCTCTTTCAGCCAAATATAAACTGGGGAATCATCTGGGTAAGATTATTCATATTTCAGTTCTCTTATACCTACATAATTAATAGTCCACCAAATACCAGGATGTTTATTCAACAAACATATATACCATTTACCATGTGCCAGATACTGTTCTAAATGCTTTATTCTCATTGAAACTCCTAAGGTGGATATTATTATTATCCCTATTTCAGGGAAACTGAGGCACAAAGAAGATAAGCAACTTGTTCAAGTTAAGTGGAGCCAGAATTAAAATTCAGGCAATCTGGCTCATGTACATACTCTTTGCTGTGCTGCCTCTTAAATCATCAACTGTGAATAACACCAACTCTACATTAAAGTACAATGTTTACATAATCTTTTGCTCACATAAAAGCTAATGGCATCTCTAACTACTGGCCCCTTACTCACTCCGGCCACTGGCTTCCTTGTTATTTCTGGTTCATCCCGGCATGCTCTTCCTTAAGGGCCTTTGCTCTTGCTTTTCCCTGTCTGGAATCCTCTTCCCCCAGATAGCTGCATCCCTCAATTCCCTTATTTCTTCAAGATTTGCTAATAACTTCTCTGTGAGGGCTTTCTAGATTAAAAATTTAAGAGCCATCCAAACACACACACATGGCATTCCCATTTTCAAGGAACCCAACATAAGACATGCTACACATTTAAGGTTTTATTGTGTGTCACCTAGCTTACCTCTCTTAAAAGCTCCAAAGACAAATTTTTGTTTGTTCAATGGCTTAGCCCAGCACTTAGAACATAGTAACCCAGCCCATAAAAAGTGTTCAGTAAACATTGGTTTAATCAGCCATGGTGGCTCATGCCTATAATCCCAGCACTTTGGGGGTCCAAGGTGGGCAGATCACTTGAGGTCAGGAGTTTAAGGCGAGCCTGGCCAACATGGCGAAACCTTGTCTCTAATAAAAAATACAAACATCAGCCAGAAGTGATGGTGCATGACTGCAGTTCCAGCTACTCAGGAGGCTGAGGCAGGAGAACAGCCTGAACCCAGGAGGTGGAAGTTGCAGTGAGCTGTGATCACATCACTGCATGCCAGCTTGCGCAACAGAGCAAGACTCTGTCTCAAAAAAAAAAAAAAAAGTTTAAATATTGAATGGGTGAATAATACAGATTCACACCTTTGGGTAAGGAGCTTCATATTATTCTTAGCAAAGCACTTAGTATATAGGGGCATTTCAATATTTAACTGATGATACTGGCAAGCTGGGCAGGAGTAGCACAACTTTTATCCACAAGTAAAACCAAACAGTTGAAATGAGGGGGACTCAAGATGGCGCTGTGAGAACAACCCAGGATTGAAGTGTTCGGTGAATCCGCGGAGAGGTGAGTCAGAGCTGCATTTTCAGACTGATCTTTGTTGCCCACAGAACGGGGAAATTCCCAAGTATAAAGGAGACGCGGGACACCAGGCAGAGGCTCTGCCTGGAGAGGCCGGCAGCCGGGGTGGCGGTGGCCGGCCTGACCCAGCACTCCCCACAGGGCGCACTTGTCCGGGTGCCCTGTTGAACCGGCAACCTGAGACTTGAGAGGGCTGAACTTGAGACTGAAGGAGACTTGGACAGTGGGCCAGCCCAGGGGATTGCAGAAACACAGCGTTTGGGGTAGCGCAGTGGGACACAAAAAACGGCGATTCCAAACGCTCGCCGCAGAGACGGTCCCTGAGGCACTCCGTGGGGGAGGGGCGTCCACCATTACCTACGCAACCCGCCCCAACTGAGATACACGCCCACTGCTGACGCAGCCTGCAGTTGCCAAGGCAACCCGCCCCTACTGAGATACACGCCCACTGCTGACACAGCCTGCCGTTGCCAAGGCAACCTGCTACAACAGAGAGACCCCGCCACAGGGCGTAGCCCGTGGCGGAGCAGGGCAGAGCCTGCAGCAACAGGGCGAACCTCACAACAGCAGGACGGAGCCTCGGCAGGCAAATAGTGTCTAAACTGCCTCCTAGCTGGGCAGGACACCTCAACGGACATCCAAAAACAAAGCCCCAACCCCACAAGACAGAGCATTTCAGAAAAAAACCGGTTTTTTAATGAGCTCTGTTGCAGCAGAATCAAACATAGCAGCCCAACAGCCCTGAATGAACAACAGAGCTCACAGCTCAGCAACTGAGCTCCTATAAAGTACAGACTGTCTCCTCAAGCAGCTCCCTGACCCCTCTATATCCAAAAGACTGACATTTGGCAGGCATCATCCTGGGACAAAGATAGCAGAAAAAGAAACTGGTAGCATCCCTCACTGTTCCGCAGCTGCTATAGGTGCACCCCAGACAAGCAGGGCCTTGTCTTCACAGTCGTACAGCGAAGGAGCTAGACTGGTAGAAGGAAAACCAAGTAACAGAAATACTTCATAACCAACAATCTGGGTGTCCACTCAAGAGACCCAATCGAAAAGTCAGCAACTACACAGACGACAAGTGGATAAATCCACAAAGATGGGAAGAAACCAGCGCAAAAAGGAGGAAAACACCCGAAACCAGAACACCTCGCCTCCTACAAAGGACCAAAACTCCTCACCAGCAAGGGAACAAAGCTGGATGGAGAATGACTGTGATGAAATGATGGAATTAGACTTCAGAAGGTGGATAATGAGAAACTTTTGTGAGCTAAAAGAACATGTATTAAATCAATGCAAAGAAACTAAGAACGTTGAAAAAAGATTTGAGGAAATGATAACAAGAATGGATAACTTAGAGAGGAATATGAATGAATTAAAGGAGCTGAAAAACACAACACGAGAACTTCGCGAAGCATGCACAAGTTTCAATAGCCGAATTGACCAAGCAGAAGAAAGATTATCTGAAGTCGAAGATCAACTCAATGAAATAAAACGAGAAACCAAGATCAGAGAAAAAAGCGCAAAAAGGAATGAACAAAGTCTCCAAGAAATGTGGGACTATGTGAACAGACCTAACCTACGTTTGATAGGTGTACCAGAAGGGGACGAAGAGAATGAATCCAAGCTGGAAAATACTCTTCAGGACATCATCCAGGAAAATTTCCCCCACCTAGCAAGACAGGCCAACACTCAAATGCAGGAAATACAGAGAACACCACGAAGATATTCTGCAAGAAGAGCAACCCCAAGGCACATAATCGTCAGATTCAACAAGGCTGAAATGAAGGAGAAAATACTAAGGGCAGCCAGAGAGAAAGGTCCGGTCACCCACAAAGGGAAGCCCATCAGACTCACAGCAGATCTCTCGGCAGAAACTCTACAAGCGAGAAGAGAGTGGGGGCCACTATTCAACATTCTTAAAGAAAAGAACTTTCAACCCAGAATTTCATATCCAGCCAAACTGAGCTTCAGAAGTGAAGGAAAAATAAAATCCTTTGCGAACAAGCAAGTTCTCAGAGATTTTGTCACCACCAGGCCTGCTTTACAAGAACTCCTAAAAGAGGCACTACACATAGAAAGGAACAACCAGTACCAGCCATTCCAAAATCAGACTAAATGCTAAAGAGCATCAACATAATGAAGAATCTACAACAACTAATGGGCAAAACAGCCACTTAGCATCAAAATGGCAGTGTCAAATTCACACATAACAATATTAACCCTAAATGTAAATGGATTAAATGCACCAATCAAAAGACACAGACTGGCAAATTGGATAAAAATCCGAAACCCATCAGTGTGCTGTATCCAGGAAACCCATCTCACATGCAAGGATACACAAAGGCTCAAAATAAAGGGATGGAGGAAGATTTACCAAGCAAATGGAGAGCAAAAAAAAGCAGGAGTTGCAATTCTCATCTCTGATAAAATAGACTTTAAAGCAACAAAGATCAAAAGAAACAAAGAAGGCCATTACATAATGGTAAAAGGATCGATACAACAAGAAGAGCTAACGATCCTAAACATATATGGACCCAATACAGGAGCACCCAGATACATAAGGCAAGTTCTTAATGACTTACAAAGAGACTTAGACTCCCACACAATAATAGTGGGAGACTTTAACACTCCACTGTCAATATTAGACAGATCAACCAGACAGAAAATCAACAAGGATATCCAGGGCTTGAACTCAGACCTGGAGCAAGCAAACCTGATAGACATTTACAGAACTCTCCACCCCAAATCCACAGAATATACATTCTTCTCAGCACCACATCACACCTACTCTAAAATTGACCACATAATCGGAAGTAAAGCACTGCTCAGCAAATGCAAAACAAATGAAATCATAACAAACAGTCTCTTAGACCATAGTGCAATCAAGTTAGAACTCAGAATTCAGAAATCAACCCAGAACCACACAGCTTCATGGAAACTGAACAACTGGCTCTTGAATGTTGATTGGATAAACAACGAAATGAAGGCAGAAATAAAGAAGTTCTTCGAAACCAATGAGAACGAAGATACAACATGCCAGAATCTCTGGGACACATTTAAAGCAGTCTCTAGAGGAAAGTATATAGCAATAAGTGCCCATATGAGGAGAATGGAGAGATCCAAAATTGACACCCTATCGTCAAAATTGAAACAGCTAGAGGAGCAAGATCAAAAAAACTCAAAACCAAGTAGAAGACAAGAAATAACTAAGATCAGAGCTGAACTGAAGGAGATTGAGACACGAAAAACCCTTCAAAAAATCAATAAATCCAAGAGCTGGTTTTTGAAAAGATCAACAAAATAGACAGACCACTA